TTTGATGCTAGGTATTACCCCCGGACAACAGACAAAATAAGATTGTTAGTTACAAACTAAGATAACTAACATTTTCCAGGACTTTCCCAAAATTGAATGACTAACATAATGCATTACTGGTCTTACCAAAGCCAGTAACATTACCAAGAGAAAATTCAAATCTCTCGTATTCACTGTAACTTATCTAATGACCATATTGAACTATTATTCCCTTTCCCTAATCTTAAGTTAATTTTTAAGTTTGCCTAAAATGCTCTGCATACAAGGGGCTTTTGGCACGTACCCCCCAACTATTATATTCCTCTGTACAACCATGTATCATGTCAAAATAAACTTCGTACTTTTAAATTCTAAATATAAGGAATGACGAGCTACAAAAGGGAAATATTACCCCAAAAATGACTGTCTGTATGGTCAAAATGAAAATATATTAAATCTGTATACTCAAACTTATTATAATGATTCTATTTTAATTTAAAAAGTTATAGGCTCTATTATTACATGTACTGCAAATTAAAATTTTCAGCCCCAAAAAAAAGGTTTAAACTAAAACTGTATGTTTTTTTTTTTTGAGAGTGAATAACTTAAGAAGTTTAGAATACAAAAAGGGATAAATTCCCTTAAGTTTTCACCCCAAAAATAGTCATCCCTTCCCCCCTGTCTTTCCTTCTTCTTTTCCTTCTTGATCGACTGCTCCACAGGAGGTGACGGGTGCATAAACTACATCTGTATCTCTTGGTTTGATCTCTTTAAGAGATCAACCTCAGGAGATTGAATGCTACTTTCGTCGGCTTGACGTTTTCGTCTTTCCTCGTCGTGATCCGTTTTCTTTTGTCTTCTTTAATTTTATTGTTATTTGCATTCTCCTGATTCTCAACCTCATTTTGAGATGGTAAATTATTTGGTTTTTTTAATAGCTATGGTATTTTCTCTTTTTCCCTTTTTGCTTTGGTAATCATTATTTACTCTTCCAATCAATTCTATGTTGACTTGTTGATTATAAACAGGGAGAACAGCTTTCTTAAAGTCACTTGCTTGAGCAGTGTCTCCTCTCTTCAGTAAACAATGATTCATCTATATGTTGCACATCCTCAGTTGGCCACAGGCACTTTAGGTTTATCCTGTGACTGAACTTCCTGAACAGGGACTTTCTTCTGAAGCTGATGTACAGATACCTCCAAGTTTGCCTGAGACTCACCTGGGAGCACTTGTAGGTTTTCAGGTGCTAGTTTCTCTTTAGGATCACTTCTAGCAACACCAATGGATTGTCCAATATTATGACTCAGGACAACAGCTGGTTGGCTTGGTTATCTCCCATTACCTGGTTGATTATTAGCATTACCCATGAGAGAACCTACATTGAATACACGATTCCCACTAATGGGATAATTTGGAAGGGAATTTTGATTAGCTTTTGGCTGGTCTGCTCTCTGGTTCAAACCTTGCTGAGGAATGTCCATATTTAGTACTGGAGCCTTTTTGCCTTGCACTGGAGAAGCTATCACATTGTTTACCTGTCCTGCATCATTACTAGGCAGCGTGCAGGTTTACCAGCAGTAGGGTTTACGGTTTTTGGGATTCACAGGAGGCATCAAGTAGGTCCCCGGGAACTAACAACAGCATGATTTACACCAACGGGAATTACAGCCGCAGGCTCAACTAAATTAAGAGCTTGGGGTTGTAATTCCCAATGTTAATAACTTGGTTCTTGGCAACGGGTTTTCCCACTCATCTACATTAATTCTACGTTCCTCTTTCTGTATTTTTAACTTTGGCTCCTGTTTTGCCTTCTGGTCTTTCCCAGTTTTTTGTAGAATTTGTTCTGTTCAAGCCAGAATTTTCTGCTGTTCCTTGTATTGTACTTCAATTTTTTCAGTAACTTCAGCCTGTTTTTTATCAACTTCCACTTTATTTTCATTACCTTCTTCTTTATTGACTTTCTCTTCCTTTTTAATGGCATCTGGGTGTAAAGTATCTCCCTCATTTTTCTCATCTCTAACATTTTCCAATTTCTGCTGAACATCTATCTCTTTTTTTCACCCCCTATTTATCTAAACCTGGTGCAATCTCTTTTTCAATTTTAGCTTTCCCTTTAGATCTTTCAGCATCTTTGCTTTTCAAAACGGATTGGCAATTTCTTTATTTTTGCTCTCAATTTCCTCAGGCGGAGGTTCTGGGGCAAAAAAAAGGGTCTCGTCGTGTAGCAGAGTCCCCCGTACTGCAACCCCCTTGTCAATTTTTCTCTCGCAACCACATTATCTTCCACGAAGATAAAGACAAACATTAACTAAAATAATACAACTATCAAGCAATAATAATGTCTGTATTAGAGCAATTTTTAATATAGCTAGAAATATGATGAAAGGATTGTGGTTGGTGTAGCACAGGACAAAGGGGGTGTTCTAAACATTTTTTTTAAAAAACAAACACAAATACACACACACACACACACACACAGGAGTGAAAAAGCATAGGGAAATTTGATGAAGGCATAGAACATAACATGGGTGTAGAAAGGTATAAGCTCTGTAATAGGTATGTATGGCAACAAGAACATAGAGGTACTGTTGGAAATTAACAGACCTCACGAGGTACAGGGTTATTAGAAAGTATTTCTTCAGTGGAAGATGGTGAGGTGGAAGAGGAGGAGCAAATGATGTAGTGGATTGAGAGGAACAATGATGTAGTGGACTGAGGAACAATGTGTAGTGGATTGGGGAAAACAATGATGTAGTGGATTGAGAGGAACAAATAATGTAGTGGATTGAGAGGAACAATGATGTAGTGGAAGTGAACTTCAAATGGATTAAAAAACAGAAAATGACAAGGCTCTGGTATGTTAAGATTAATATAATAAATTTAACCCTTTCGGGGTCTGTGCCGTAGAACTACGGCTTTACGTTCAGGGTCCAAACCTTAGATTTTACGCCATGAGCTAGCTCACTCTGATAAGCTGTGAGTGGTAAATTTTGGCCTAGATATGAGAGAATACATCTATGTGGTATGTGTGACCACATAAAACAAATCCTGCAGCACATAGTGTTAAAGAAGAAAACAACTGAGACCGTGGTTTTCGATTAAAACAGTGACTTTGCAGTGTTTTTGCATATGTTTTTTATAGTTGTATTTGCTATTTCTTGGTCTCATTTGATAGAATGGAAGACCATATTACAGAAACAGAGAGAATTTTGATTGGGGTTTTTGTTCTGGAAATGGCTTGAAACTGAGCTCAAAGTAGAGGAAATGTTAAAATTTTGCTGATGTTCAAGAGTAAACAAACGACCTCACACGTCTAATACACCCCCCAGCTGGTGGGTCTAATATACATTCACAAATGTGGTGATGATATTTATACAATTATTACAATATTTCATAACAGTAAATGTTCTATTTTTGGGTTTAAATAAAAATTCATTATGTGAATAAAAAACCAAAATGGAATTCTTTTGTAAAGCTCAAAACATAAACTGATAAACAGAGAAAATGTTAGTTTAGTGCCAGGAATACCTACATTGTTTATTCTGGACCCTATTTTGAAATTGGAATATTTTGAACTTTGTGTTAAATTGGCCAATTACTAATTTCCGATCCCCTTTATTTTGTGTTGAAACAGTTGACTTGGTGATTTCTTGTCCTCAATCGATAGAATAGAAGTAATACTAGTAAAATAGCTAAGAATTTGGTCAACTGGAATAATGTAATTGGCCTAAAATGGGAGTCAAAGTCGGCAAAATCGCCAATTCGTAATATCCCTTTGAACCTTCAAAATTCGCAAGAGCATAATTTCGTCAATTTCCATCAAATTTCGTACTTTTTGTTTTATTACCTTCAGAAAAAAATTCTCTACCATTTCATAAGAAAAAAATAAAAAAATTTTTTTTGGAAAATTCTTGGACCCTGGTGCACACTTTGAAATTTGGCCCTCGGACCCTGAAAAGGGTTAAATGCTAAACCTTAAGGGGTCATACAGTACAGTGGCCCCCGTATTCGATGGAAACGGTATTTGATAAATCCGGTATTCGATGCATTATATCGCAAAAAAATTTCCTTGGTATTCGATTGAAAACCCGGTATTCGATACGATTCGTACGAGACCTGTACACGTGTGGCCTGAAAATGCCCCGTGTGTGCCAGTGTTTACAAGCCAGCCAGTTTTGCACGCATCTAAGGATACGTTCGGTACATTCCATATTTTTCACTGTGTTTGTGCTTGTTTCTGCAAAATAAGTCACCATGGGGCCCCCAAAAAAGTTTCTAGTGCCCCAAACCCCGTGGTAAAAAGGGTGAGAATTAGTATGGAAATTAATAAAGATTTTGAAGGGTTTGGGGCTAACCCTGAGAAGCCTATGCCCGTTGTGGACTCCATTGTGCCTACTTCAAAAATTAAGGAAATGTGTGCACAGTGGGGTTGAAGTGCAAACCTTTATGGATGAAAATCACCCTAACACAGCTATTGCAAGCCTTGCTGGTGACTATTACAATGACAATTTGTGGCCCATTTTAGACAAATTGTAAAGGAACGGGAGGTACAGAGCTCTATGGACAGATTTGTTGTGCGACAGAGGTCCAGTGACTCTCACCTGGTACTAGTGGCATTAAAAGAAGGGAAGTAACCCCGGAAAAGGACTTGCTACCTCAAGTCCTAATGGAAGGGGATTCCCCTTCTAAACACTAACACCTCTCCCCACCTCCATCCCATCAATCATCACCAGATCTTCATTAAAGGTAAGTGTCAATTATTTTATTGTTATTGTAATTATTCTATTGCATTAAACTTAATATTTCATGTAGTAAATTTTTTTTTCATACTTTTGGGTGTCTTGCACGGATTAATTTGATTTCCATTATTTCTTATGAGGAAAATTGATTCGGTTCTCGATATTATCAGTATTCGATGAGCTCTCAGGAACGGATTAATATCGAATACCAGGGGTCCGCTGTACTAAGTCACGTCAAGAGAGGTTTTAAAATGAGACATTATAATAAAGACTTATACTGTTGTGTGTATTTTCATTCACCTGTTGACTTGCTCTCTTGTACTCACTGTAACTCCTAAATTTATATTTACAACCACCTAAGAGACTATATATATAACCACTCAATTTGTCATTACCTTATTAATCTTAAGTTAGTCTTAAGTTTGCCCGAAATGCTCTGCATCACCATGGGCTTTCTGCATGTACAGTGGAACCTCAAAAATCGAACTGCTCCCAACTCAACCAATTATGTAAGTGTATTTTATAAGTGTATTTTTGAGGGTCTTAAATGGTCTAATCTAATTTACATTATTCCTGATGGGAATAAATTCGTTCGGTAGTGGCACTCGAACAGCCTTCTGGACCGAAGAAAGTTCGATATTTGAGGTTCCACTGTACACCTATATGTCATTCACCTTTGTACAAACACTATATCATGCTGATATAAAGTATCTTATATTACCTAAACCAAATAATTAGTAAATGAAATAATTAATAAACACTAATTCATCAAGCCTATGCAAAAAAGAATAGCTGGAGTCAAAAAACAAAATAGTGTAGCGTGTAACTTACTTTCAATATTTCGTAGGTTTGGATCAATGGCATTTTTCGCCAAGTCTGGGATGGCCTGAGCCTGCTGCTCAGTCTGGACCTGATTGATGTGGGATAAGGTGAGGTATGTCCCAGTAACTATCAGCACTATTCCCACTAGCATGATGCCCTGGAATATGTTAAGAAATAAATAAAAGTATTATATGTTAAGTAAAAGGACACAAGTGCAACTAATGTGACTTTGTCAATGGTCCAAGTCGGACCGAAACGTCGTCGTAAGCTTCTCTCTTTTATGTGCGGGTTATTTGTGCAACTAATGTGATATTTTATTGACAAAGTTTCACTCTCCAGGAGCTTTACCAAGCTGGCTTGATAAAGCTCCTGGAGAGCGAAACGTTGCCACAAGAAAATGTCACATTAGTTGCACTTATGTCCTTTTACTTAACATTGTCAGTAATTCTACCAACATTAATTCAAAAGTATTACAGGTCAAAACAATTTTTAATAGGTAAAGAAAGCAGATCCTGGAATTGGTGTGATGTAGCCCTGCTCATGTAATAATGGTAGGAATCTCATCACCACTGCTGCTGCAAGATAGGTAATGATGCTCTTCCATTTACAATGGGGTTACATTCTGAAGAACCCATCGTAAGTTGAAAATATCATAAGTCGAATATGATTATATTCTTTTTTTATAGTTCAACATGTCGTACTGATCTCCCACTGAGACTGGATGTCCCAAAATAAATAACACTACACCATCAATCACACATAATCACTGTCTTTGCAGAGAGGCACTGAGATACGACAGTTTAGATGTCACTCATTAAACAGTCAAAATCCAAACCCCTCCTTTAAAGTTGCAGCTGTAATGTGTCAGTTTTTAAGGCTCCCCAAAATGCTTTGCATTAAAGAAGGGGGCTTTCTATAAGTTGAAATTGAGAACATGTGCAATCTCATGGGTATCTTTTTTGTATCGTTTCGCCATCGTGGCTTTTTCTAATAAAGATTCTAGGACATTACGTGAAGTCAGTAGCAGTAGAAAACTATATACAAAAATGAGGTAATTCAGTCCCACAAGCTTGGAGTTGTGTTCACAGCATCGTGGTGGATTCTCCTCCACCACGATGCTGTGAACACTAACTCCAAGACTGAGGGACGGATTACCTCATCTTTTGTATCTAGTTCTACTGTCTTCCAATTATGTCCTAGAATTTGTATTGATAAAGCCACTGGAGGGCGAAACGTCTACAATAAAGATACCCAGATGTTGCACACATGTCTTTATTTCATCTTGTCAGTACTGTATACCATTCTTGCACAACTTTCTATAAAGTAGTTTACATATGTCAATTATAGGTATTCCAATGTCAATTATATACTGTAATCCACTTTCTTGAAATAAATTTTTCTTCTTAAACAAATCACTACAATAACACAAGCACAACAAATCAAACTCAATTATATTTTTTCCAGAAACGTATGTGATTTTTTTTTACTTACTGGTACAGAAATCTCTGTGGCTAACCTGTGCCAGAAGTCTTTCTGCTGAAGCCTTGGAGTGAACTCTAATGAAGAGCAGTGAAGGGAGGAAGAGTGCGATCAACATGCCCATCGTTGATCCCAGCAGCCCCAGCACAAACTCTGAAAGTGATCATTTATGAAAATTTTGAAGGAGTGTATGTTAGTATGTGGGATATTGGTGTGTTTGGAGGGTATACTCTGTGTGTGTGTGTGTGTGTTGTGTGTGTGTGGGTGTGTGTGTGTGTTGGGGTGGGGTTGTGTGTTATTTCTATTTGCTGAACAACGGTTAGTGCCGATGGAGGTAGAGTAGGTAGCAATTGACTACGGCCGTGGACTTGTTTGGCCACTTTATTGGGTAGGGAGTGAGTACACAACGGGCAGTGTGAGGGAGTGGACGCAAGCCAGTCCGAGGAGGGGGGAGCAACTTGGTGTCTGTCAAGTCGGTCAGCTAGGATTGAGAGTGGGTGGGCTGTGCTTCCCAATGACCTAGGTAGGCCTACAGAGGGCGCAATGAATGCCGCGAATTTGAACTATCAGAGCAGGAACGGCTAGCTGTTGTGCTCTGACAGTACTGGCTGTTTACATTTGCTCGGCCACGCACCTTTGCGTCGTCCCGGACGGGACAATACTGGTGGGCCCATCGGTATAAACGGATTTTACACTAGCATACCCCAGAGAGGGACTGGCCTTTTCGATCCTTGTAAATCAAAAATGGACAAAAAAATGCAACAGGCATAAAAAAAAAAAAACTCTCCCATCCAGGGGAATGAGAAAACTGGTTTGCCCGCGCTTGGTTTCATCGAGTTAGAGAGCCCGGAGACGTCAGCACTGGACTAAAATCTTCTATATAACAGGGTTGTCCGCAGGGCTGAACATCAGTGACCTCTCGTTAACGAACGTTGTTGACACGTACATCTGCAAAACAATGTTCTGACAAGTAGCATTTCATAGGTGTGAATGTAACTCAGAGGGCAAGCACTGTTGACCGTTAATACAGGCTTATCTTTTTTTTTTCCTTTTGTTATAAAACACTGGTATGCCCATACTACCAATAATACTATATCCATGGGAATCATTTTTACACTCGGGGTACCCTTCTAAAAAGTATTTACATAATTACATGTTGTTGTCCTCCACCCTGACTATTAGATGTATACAATGTGATGTGGATGTTATACCCATTTCTGCAATGCAAACAATTACATAACTAGCGTTGGAGTCAGACAAGTCAGTAGGTTACGTCAATTGTCACAGAAATGTACTGTTGTCCTGGGTCGCAGGCCATAAGTAATGGAGCCTTACTCGGGCGTCTTCCGTACCAGTAGTAGTGGTGAGAAGGATATTAGCGGTTTGTTCCCTAACATTTAGTCTCGTTCGTGGCGTTGCAACGCCGCAGCCTCCAGCTCTGCTTCGGCTGCCTTATGGTCCACATACTTCATGTGATCAAGGTGGGCCTTCCTTGATAGTTCCCGTAGCAATCCCCTAACCTCGAAACTTATTGCACGGAGCTGTCGTAGGAACACGGTAGGGAACACATCAAACTTGGGACAAGGTTTTGTGACATACTCTGGGTCCTGCACTATAGTTGAGAAACATAACTTTGTCAACATGGTTCACTTTGTTTTCCTTGGCGCGGGCATTGCGCTCAGACGTGAACCTATCTGTTGCTTTCCCATAAGGTTCTCTCGTACCCGCTGGAAGACAAGCTGCGTTGTCTCATCTTTACTACACTGGGGTTATCAGTATCGTAAGTAGGTCTAGGTGGAAGGAGGTAGTTTAAGTAATATTCATATGGGAAGCGCTGTCATAGCCATACAAAGCAAAATGAGGTGTCTACCGAACGAGCTGTTGAGGAGGAATTTAATGTCAATGAACATTGGGATAGCCTCTACCATGTAGTACAACTAGGGCGTTAAACTGGTACTCTGAGCAACTCCAGGACTTTGCGATTTGTTACGTTCAGCAAGACCATTACTCGCAGGGTGGCGTGGAGTACTGGCGCTTGATGAATGATGATAATCTGGAGCAAAGATCCTGCATTATGCCATTTTAAACTCAGACCCATTGTCTGAAGAAAGGACACGTGGGCAAAGTATGACGCAAAAGAAACTACATTGCCTCACGGAATGCACTAGCGACACGTTTAAGCGGTTTTATTCAGGATCACCATGGGTCTAATTCACTGTACCGTGTAAGTTATCTACCATTACAAGCAGGTGCCTTATTTCCTTCTCCGATGGTCGCAGAAGATTCGTCAACAGGTCGACGAAGTTCTCTCCAGGGCTCCTTTGTATTGGGATACTTTAGAAATTGGGGTTAGGACCTGTTAATGGTACCCTTGTGCTGTAGGCAAACAACACACTGGTGCCCACATGCTTGGCAAATGTCCGGCTGCCTTCTTAGGCCAGAAATATTTCATTCGTGCCTGTTTGATAGCTGCGGGGTCCTTCCCGGCTTGCGCTACATGGCGACATGTGGCATCAACCTTAGAGTAGCTGGTATCAGGACTCTGGTATCACCAGTTGGTTTACGGTTCTGCGGGGTCCACCAGCTGTGCAACAACGGACAGTACTCCTTGGTTGACCCACTAAATCCTTCAGTTGGAAACGGGAGACTTGGACTGTAAGGTCAACGTCCTCCTTGGTCAGGGTAACGAAGGACTGGAGACCACACAGTGTCCTGTCGTTGGGGCTCTATCAAGACCCTCAACTCGAGAACGAATTGCTGACACTACGAATGACTATATGTCTCGACAGCGGGCATCAGCTACAACATTTTGCTTACCTGGGACATAACAAATTTCAGGGTTGTAGTCATTGAACGTGGATCGCGACCACCGAGCATGCTTTCCAGAGGAGGTCTCATTCGCAAAAAAAGGGTCAATAAGGGTACAATGAATCTGTATAAATCTTGATAGGATAATGATAGATGTATCCCGATATGACTCGGGCCATAAATGGCTAGCTTCTAGCTCTGTCACGGAATAATTGACTTCCGCTTTAGTAAAAGAACCCACGGCTAGCATAGGCATAGGCTGTTTGCTTACCAGATTGATTACTGTGACAAGACTGCACGATGGCCAACACTTTGCTGGCATCAGTCGTTCATGGTAAATGCCTTGGTGAAATCAGGGAATCTAAGGGTTGGGGCCGATGTTTAACTTGTTCTTTAAGGAATGAAAAAGCTCGTTCCCTGATCACACGTCCTCCTCAAAAGGGGCATCTTCTTGAGTAAGGCGTGTCAGGGTGCAGCAATGGTGGAGGAAATGAAACCTGCGATAAAGGTGCGGTAGAATACTGCACAGGCCATAGAAGGACCGGACTTGCATCCGCCCGTCATGGTGTCTGGGGTATTTTGCACGGCGAGATTTTTAGGACTCGTCTGTCTTTATGCCCATTCTGAGTCACTACGTTTGACCCAGAAAATTTTATTTCCTTCCGGAGGGGACAATGACAATTTGGAGAGCTTCACCTTAAGTTTTGGCCTGAGCTAGCCTGACCCAAATACCCCTGTTTCAAGTTCTCAAGAGAGACGGGACATCTTGCAGACATGACTATGAGAATCAATCAGGTAGACCATGAGCGTGCCACCTAGGAGGGTACGCGAAAATTGTCGTCATCAAACGACCCTAAATGGATGGGCTTCGCGCAAGCGAAAGGCATCTCCTGATCTGGTAATGTCCAGGTGGAGTAGAGAAATGTCAACTCTTGCTCCATCATCGAGGTGGGATCTCTGCCAGAACCCTTGAAGAGATCAAGAGTTGAAAAGACTTATTATCGCGATGTTCGCAACAGGTCGTTCAAGAACTGGCCAATGGAAAGCGGTCTGGGATGGTACAGGCATTCAGTTTCCTCGTTAATCGATACAGGGCGGAAGGTTCACGTTCTTTCTTGGGAACCAGTATAAGGGGAGCATTCCACGGGGGAAGTGGAACTCTCTCAATAACTCCATCACAGAGCATAGTGTAATGAGTTCTTCGGCGAAAGACTCTTTGCGCATGTGGCAGGCGATACGCAGGTTCATAAATGGGTTTAGTACCTTTGTAAGTGGAATTCGGTGAGAGATCAGTGGGTCAAACCCATGACTCACCATCTTAGTGCCACTGCAGAACGGTTGCACGATTGAGAACCTGGAGAAGTTTTTGGGAATCTATTCAGGATTGTCTGTCAAGCTAGTCATCTTCCTCTGCACTGGCCGGGTGTTGGAAGAGTCAGCAGCAGACTCACCTGCGGAGAAACTTGCAGCTCACGAGGAAGTCAGGCTGGGGCTCTCAACCTCCATCTCACCGGGAGAAGAATCTGACAAGGTCGACAAGTGAGGTATTCTTCCCGCAGGTGGAAATTCTCGGACTATGCATGTTGACAACAGGACTTGCATACTTACACGTTTTGCACTGTGTGCAAGGATGGTTCAATGGGAGAGGCCCTTGGCTTCGCATGTGTCGTTGTCAACCAGCAACATGGTCTCCTTCAAAAGTTTGGCTCACATACACGCCGTAACAGATGTGAGCGACGGTAGCTGACAAAGTGACCGTCATACCTTTGTTACAAGCAGTAACTCTGCTCTGCTGTGCCATGACACGAGTCAGACCAGCGCCTGCCGACAGGGATACTGCGGTTGACAACTGATGGTCCTACAACAGCGTCAGAGTCTTTAAGAGTGAAGTGTTAGACCTGGGCGTCCACAGATGGGTTTCAATGGTAACTACGCGCGATGGCCAGGAGGGATGGGCAACGAGCCTCTACTACGAGGTCTAATCAAGGACAAGAGACCGACCCGGGAGAAGAATGTGCTATGGAAATCCACCGGTTTCCAACGATTCTAAGCACTGGCATACTTGAGGGGACAGAGTAGCACGTAGTGGATCCTAAGCGCACGCCCCAGAAGGGCAACTATCCACTCCGTTGAATTCGCTTTTCACTCAGGCTGGATTCTAAGCGGATCCTAAGATCTGCATGGTTTTGAACCCTATGAGCAGGTGGACATGGAAACATTACCATCTACGACTATGAATTTTGCGGGGACAGCTTGTGACCCTGGACCGCAAACTTCTAAGTTGTACGACCACAGAAACAGTCAGCGGATTCCTGAGACTCCTCTCAACGTCTTGAATGGCAGAC